TATCTATATATATGGCCCTTCTTTTTCGCGATTGTGAGCTTATGTACGCTCCTAACATATTTAAAAAATTTTGTCCACGTGGAAAAACTTTGTTGGAATTTCAAAGAGTTGAATCTAGATTTTGTATGTACAACTTTTGGCATAAAAACATATTTTTCAAGGAAATGAAGATAGCAGCCCCTTCTTGTATTGATAAATTTTTAAATATTCAACATCCAATCAATTTCATATACTGAAAAATTAATTGTTTTTAAATTAACCTGTATCAGGATTAGCAACAGTGGAAATTTAAATGTAATTGTTAAATATGCAAATATAAAATATTTTTAAAAAAATTTCAAATACCAGAGTAAATATATTGCATACTTTTTGAGAGACAAGTACAAGGAAATATCCCAGAAATTGTAAATTTGTTTGCATTTTATTTATAAAAACGGTTGACATATTCTTAGATATTTTTTCGGTTCCAGATCAAGATATTTTGTGTTGTTTACCTGTTACCACCGTGAAGAGCACCAGAAATACCAGGATAGTCCAACTAAATTTAACGTAGCACATTTTAAACAATATTTTATGCCAAAGTAAGCACAATTTTAACTGTCAAAATAAATTGAGAATTTCCTTTTTGTCACTTTCAATTTAACTTTAAATGCACTTGCCACAAACTTTGTGCAACAGTTTTGCTGTGTAGGTGCGAGTGCGAGTATGTGGAATGCGTGTGTTCAAAACTCTTTTCGAATTGCCACCAAAAGGCGTTAGACTGGCGGCTTTTATAGCCAGACCGGTGTGCAGCAAACATAGCCGGAACGGCAAAGATAACGACAGCCAATGCGAGCGCAACACACGAGCCAGATTGGGCAGACGAACCACGACCCGACGCCAACGCACAAGGCACGACGAAGTCAACGCCGCCAATGAGCGTAGCGAGAGGTTCAGCAACAGGCAGAGGTCCATGTGGGGTAAGCCTCTGCCAATTTAATTCTGACAGGAAAGTGAGCCCCGTTCAACAAAACCCCCAAAACAAAACAAGCTCAGTTTAATGCTCTTTAAAGAAAAAACGCAATCTGAACAATTGTTTATTGTAGTGTCCTGACGGTACCGGTTAGTTGCCTGCTGAGTGTTGGTGGTGAGTTTTGAATGTTTAAGATCTTAGTGTAAATATAATGTTCTGTGTTTAGCTACCAAATACAACATTTCATCAATCATTTAGTTTCGAACGCAAAGGGTATTGTTTGTGTCTGTATCTCGTTTGATTATGATTTCTTAGTCCCCGATTAGTCTGTACCGTGTATTATGTGCTGCCAATCGAATGGCAGACGCCGGAAGGCAACACTTGAACCACATTATTCTAGCTTGGCCAGGATGTCGCTCTCGCGGAACAGTACATATTCGCGTTTGTCATCCATGTCCACCTTGGTGCCACCATATTTGGGCAACAGAACGCGATCACCCTCCTTGACGGCCACGGGCAAGTGGCCAGAGCCAACAGGATTGCGGGCACCGGGTCCAACGGCCACGACAACGCCTTGCATCTCCTTGGGCACCGAGTCCTCCGGCAGCAGAATGCCTCCTGCTGTTGAGGTCTTCACCTCGGCGCGCTGAATTAGAATGCGATCCAGCATGGGTACAACCTTCTTGATAACGCTAGCCATTTTTCTGTTGAACCAGGACAAATTATTTCACAAAATCACGAAAATGAAAAACTTTTTTTTTGCAACTTTTACCAAAAATCTTTTTTTTTTACAAAATTAAAAACCAATTTTTTTTTTAATATTTTACAGCCGTTCAGTTCGGATGCCAGAAACAGACTGAGGAATGCTGGGATTGTGGGGAATCAATAGCAGCCAGATTTCAAGGCCTACTCTATCCAACAATTGGTTAGCCTACTTTGATTTGGGTTCACTCTAAAAGCATTTGGTAGAGTTCATTTTGACTCTGGTCTCAATAGACTTACCAAACTCGGCCACGCAATATGTGCTAGACTACCGTTATAAAGAGCATAGTTGTGTGTGTGTGTACAAAGTGCATATGTGTGCATACGTGTATATATGTGTTTAACATTTCTTTGTATTTGCGCGTTGTTTTGACAGAATTCCCACGCTGAAAGCGTCAGCGCCACCTGTTGGCGCTGCTGCGCACTAAGCACACAGTGTATGTGTTTGTGCCTGAGTCTGTGTCTGTATGTGTGCCCTGTTTGGCTTCCTGACTGACTAAATGATTGGGTGGGATACGGTAGGGAGGTAGGGAGTTAATGTTGGCCACATTTCTTTTGCTGGAATTTCGCTTTTTTGTTTTCCGATTCGCTCGTAAATCAAAAAATTTCACACTTTCTACGTCATTTTGCGGACGGCCGTGTGTCAGTGGGTGTGGCTGTGTGTGCCAATTGGTGTGTATGTGTGTGGGTGTATGGATCTATTGCTCTTGCTGCTTCCTTTCCTGTATTATTCCATTGGCTTGTTAGCTTTGGTTAGCCTTACGTGACGTACGTGAAGGAAAAGTATATATACACATTATTATTAAAAGTATATTAACTATCGAAAGGAGTTTGTTACGCTTAATAAAAAACGGTATTAAATAAAACCAATGAAGCCTTTGAGCGGAAGAATTTTATAATTCTTATATATCAGATTCCTTAAAATCGATACATATCGATATGAAGGGTCAATGTTTTTGAGCTTATCTACAGAAATATGTATTCAAGAGTGTCCTACCTGGCTTTGCCCATGACACGGTTTTCCTTCAAATTTTAGGCATTTAATTTCCATTTCCATGATCGTGAGATATTTAACCTAATTTACATTGATTTTAAAAAAAAAAAGTTAGAAGTGTTTTCCGACCATTCTTCAATACATACTCTCTTATTAGCCAAAGTTAAACTTTTACAATGAGCTTAAAGCCAGCTACAAAACTTTTGCTCATACATCCTTTTACCCTTCCTCTTCACCAAGGGATGGGTTTTCCAAAAAGTGTAAGACACGTCTAAAATGAATTTTCACTATGATTTTTGCAACTAGCTTACAGCCGATAGAATGACAAAATTAAAATGTTTATATAACCGTTTCCACCCATTTTTCGCAGTTGCTAGTGGAATTTTTAAAATCGCTGGTACAAGCATTCATTTACTTCTTACGTAGGGTTTTCAAATATTGTTTGAAATCTGACTGTCCCATATCCACCGAGTAAGGGTGGATTCGGCGAAAAGTGTGGGAGATGAAAGATCTTTGAAAATATTTACAAAAATTATGATTAATTCAGATTTTAAACAACAAAAATAATACCAACAAATAACGCCCAAGTTAATTGGGAAAGTATATAAGCTTATCTTAATGCATACAAGTATGTTAGAGTATACAAATTTCGATGTGACATATATTGCCAAAGCTATCGTTACCATTACTGATTTTTTGGACTTCCGCTCAATGTATGCAAGTTTTTTATTTTGGTGTTTATGGTGTTTATGGCATGCTGCGCTTAGGATTTCCACGTATATCTAAAAAATGACGCATTATGAGAGAATTTATGGGCATAGGGCATGAGTACGTAAGCAAATGGCATGCCCTGATGCAGTCGCCATTCGCAGATCGAATCCAATCACACCTCCATAATGAGGGCAGGGAATGCCGCGTGCTTTGGCCAGCACGTCCATTTGCGTGATTGCATTTTCATAAGAAATGCAACTGCGAGTGCTTGGGCCATATTACTCATTCGCCGCGTTGACATTAGTCTGCATTTGCAGTCCGTGACCTTGGGCGATTATCAGCGCATGGGCATGGTGCATGGGACATCATTATCATATTATTTATTCAAACAGACGGCATACGCTCCACTCCAGCTCCACTCCAGCTCCATGCGCATTTGCTTGCACGCCAAATCGATAAAACAAATTTGTTTATATGCGCATTGCGATGAATCCAAATTACAAATTTTCGCTCAACTCACGGCGCCGTCTCTAGCAGATAAAAATAGCCAAGTCGGCGAAACCCTAGCAATTGCCAAGAAAATAATCAAATTTGGATATTTTATGTATATTGATAAGTTTAATTACGTATTTATATATTTTTGGATTCACATTAAATGTAAATATAAATAAAAATTATCAGAGCTACGTCTTCGACAATTTACTTTTTCTTCCGCCTTTGCAGTCGAAAGCATTTATTTTCGATTTTTCCGGTCGAATAATCGTTTGATGTTTTGAAAATAGCAAAACTTTTTTCTACAGCTCATCAGTCAGTTCCTCGACAGCTCGTAGTATTTTTGCACTCCTCAACAAATATTTAAAGAAAACTTTAGCTAAAGTTCGGAAAATTTCAAAGTTGGAAAACAATTTAATTATAATATCGACTTTTGTTTTATTTTGTACAATCTATTACATTGTTTGGGTTCAAATAACAATCGCTGAGCTCACAGCAGTGTGATTAAAATGAGATATTTTTGGTTGAGAATCGTGTTTGACAAAAATATAAAGATTCATTTGCTATTTTTTCAATTGTGTAAGATTCAAAAAGAGGTAAATTATCTATGTAGAGGTTTTTAATAAACTGTCTAGAATATTATAATCTTTTTTTATATAATTTAAGCAAAAAAGACATTTCTCATTTCTGGGATATTTAATTTTCAAGAGTAAGCTTCAAATAAACTATCAGCCTCGCAGCTCTTACAGTTCGGTCAGGACAAATTCTTTAATATATATATGGATTTAAGGTACAATAGACTAGTTATGCAAGTACATCGCAGTTTCTTAATTTTAATTGTTAGAAAATAAATAAAAAGAAAAAAACTTGTAGCATTATCTGAATAATAAATGCATGGAGCTCAATATCATTAATTTTAAGTTACATTTAGTTTTAGTTAGCTTGATTAACTTATACAAAAATAAGGTTGTACTAAACGCTTTGGTACACGTAGGTATAACAATATAAAAACAGTGACTAATTTAAAAAACTATAAACTTAAATAGGTTAAAACAAAAATGCAGAAAGCTGCACAGATGAGACAAGTTAAAATATCGCTAAAAATAAACTACAAAGTTACTTTAAACAGTTGAATTGTGCATTGCATATTACAGAACTAGTTGAGACTTTGACTGCAGTAGGCGTTCGTTCAGAGCAGTCTAAAAAGAGCAAGTAAGAGAGAGAGAGATAGAGAGAGAGAGAGAGAGAGAGAGAGAGAGAGAGAGAGAGGAAGGGAGGGAGAGGGTGAGAGAAGAATAGAGGAATGCATGTAAACAATTTACTTTTGATCGCGTATTAGGTAATATTACTCATACGATCAGTGGGACAGACCTGCATTAGTGTCTGCTTCGACTCAATGGAATCGCGCTGCGTCGATGAATTAAGTGTTGTGGTGCGACGCAAGCGGCGCGACTCCAGCTGATGGCGCGAATTCTGCATGCCCTTTGAGTACTTCTTGCCCAGCAGCACGGCCTGCAGCAGATCAATGAAATATGTATATATAAGAAGGGTATATAAAAATATATAATCTCAGCTGGGGGCTCACTTTGAAGGCCTCGCGAAACTTGTTGCTCATCAGGTTGTAGAGCAGCGGATTAATGCAGGTGGACAGATAGTAGAGCACGCCCGAGACATATGTCATCACCGTGTAGAGGAGCTCATGCTGATCATGCAACTGGGCGCCCCGGGCTGGCGCATAAATGGCAATCAGACGCTGTGCGTGAAATGGTGCCCAGCACAGAAAGAAGCAGATGACAACGGCAACTGTGAATCGAGCAGATAAACCAAACAATTGTATTTGTATTTATATTCATTCGTTCTAATGGCAGGCACTGGCTTGTGTCGCAGAGTATTTTATTTTATTTTATTTTTTTTGGGCGCACAATAAACCCGCGCCTCATAAATGTCGAGCATGCCAAATGACAGACGCGATAAATTGGCCAGTGAATGGCTGATTAAACGCGCCCAAGTCTTCGGCCCGGCCTCTGCCCCTTGCTGACACAGACACATACAGCCAGAAATTAGACATTTGGCTCACAGCCTGCGGCCATCAGTCGCTACATAATTTTGCATAATTGGACTCATCATCAATGTGGCAGAACTCACCAAGCATCCGCAGCACACGACGCGTGCCATAATGAGTGAGGCGTCCACGCACTGAACTCAGCTGTGGCCCAGCATTGTTGGCCAAAACCGAGCTGGAGCCCGCGTAGCGATAGAGTATTGTGTCACTTGCTACCGCCTTCAGCGGCTGCTGGCGCCGCGCGCTGCTCTCGGCCATAGGAGCTGCTGGTGATCCGCCGCCGCCGCCAATGACACTCGAACGATACAGGTGCAGGCCAATGCACAGGTACAGCACCAGTATGATGGACATGGGCGCAAAAAAGAAGATGAAGGTGGACAGCTGGAACGAGTGTTGCACTATCACGCGCACCACGACGCACTTATCGACGCCCGCGTAGCTATTGATGCCGAACTGTGCCGCCTGCGGTATGGCCGTGAGCACCGCCAGCAGCCAGATGAGCACTATGATTCGGATGGCGCGGCTCAGCTTGCTCATGGCCTGCCCAAGAAACGGATGGCAAATGGCCATATAGCGTTCCACCGTAAACGCCGTGATGGTCAACACGGTAGCATTGGCGGATGTCTCGGCCAACAGGCCACGACCTATGCAAAAGTACTCGCCGAATACATACGGATACTTGGACCAGATGAAGTACATTTCCTGCGGCACGCCCGACAGCAGTAGCATAAAATCCGATATGGCCAGCGAGAACAGATAGTAATTGGTGGCCGTGTGCATGGAGCGATTCTTCTTGATCACAATACAGGTGCTAATGTTGCCCACAACGCCGGTCAGAAAGATGAGGCAATAAACCACCGTGACGGGTATAACAATTGCCAAAGGATCGCGCTGCGCGCCAAGCAATTGGGTAATTGTGGCCGCGCTCTGATTGATGGCAGGTGCAGCCGATGCCGGCGACATGTTTGCTTGAAATTTTCCTTCAACTGAGCGCGTTTTGTTTATATTTTTTTGGTTTATTTTCAAAGTTTCATTCAAAATTTCCACTTGCTGGAATGCCGACTACCGCTTAATTGGCTATATCTCCCTCTATGCTAATTATTATAATTCGATGTCACGACGCACGACGCAGCGCAGCAGCGGCAGAGAATTTAAGGTAGCAAATCGACTCAGTTCGTTTCTTGATTGGCACGCAACACACAGACGATAAAAACAATATTGTCAGCGAGGTCGCAACCAAATCCAAATCCAGACCCAGCGACTGCTATCAGCACTGGGCGCTGGGCACTGGGCACTGCGTTCACTTGATTACAAACGCGGCCAGCCACATTTATGTGGCATTAGTTAAATGCAGTTGGGTAGCTGCAGCGAGTTGCCCGTATCCGAGTTGCGAACCCGAACCGCACGCCAGCGCGCTCTGAACTTATCTGATAAGCAACGGCGACAATTCTATTCAGATTTGTATCTACATTAGGCAACGACGACGCTCGGTCGCTGCCTCGGTCGCTGCCTCTGCCTCTGTCACTGCCAGTGTCTCTGTCCGTGTCTCTGCCGGCTGGCAAGTGTTTCGCTCTGTGCTTGGCTTTGTTTGTGTTTTGGACACAATTTCTCATAGCTGGGGCGCTGCTGTCGCAAAAAGCGCAGCCCCCCAAAAACCAGCAGCCCCACCAGAAACAAGAGGAGCAATAAGAAACCCCACGATGACGGCGGGCAAAAACTTTTCGTAATATGCGTTTTGTCAGTGCCAGAGCTGACGACTGACATTTTCTGTAGCCCCGTCATATATATTCATTCATTTATTTTATTTCGTTTAGCGCCACACTAACTAACCGAGCACCCTGCTAACCCCCCTCCCCCCCTACCCACCCTCCGGTGGTGTCAAAGTGCGTGCGCTGCTTTTGAAATAGTCGCACACACACACACACACACACACACCATTATACAGAACATGCACACATGCATGCGTACGAATGAAAATGGTGGCTGCCACCAGCTACGTGTGTTCTTCCCCGTCTATGAGTGTGTGTGTATATGTGTGTAAGCTTTACCAAGTGTTTGCACGCGTGCTTTAAAAGCTCTCAGCAAGTGCAACCGAGTTTTTATGTTAGTTTATAGACGGCTACTTAACTAGCTACATTTAAAGTGCCCTACAGATTCGAGTGAGCAAATTATTGACATTTATCTAATATATATTTTCAACCTATTATAAATAAATGCCGGTTATTATCCGGCATTGTCCGTGTCAATTTTTTTTTAATATAGATATATGCAGAAAACGCCAAACATGACTTTAATTAATTTTTACTTAGATCCTGGAAATGAGTTTAAGACGGATCGAATGAAAGAATTTTCCATTATCTGTAAAACTTGCGTTCATTAACTTCTTATTTAAATAAGTTTGATGGCCAATTGGAAGAATGTTCAAACTTCGCCAACCTAGCCTATATAGATGCACATATAGATAATGAGATTGTGATCGACAATCGAAAACAAAAGATTTCGATTTTTCGCTTGCACAGTGTTCAAATGCAAGACGGTGCATTTTCCGCCAAGTAGGCAGCACGACTCCAATGAATTTCCTCAAAGACCTTAAAGACGCAAAAATCATAAAGATAATCGAATGATAAACACGAAAATTTCATAAAACCATTTTTCAATTCCAAAACCCTTGTAACATGTCAAATGACAGCTTAAAAAGCAAGCGCCTCAAAGTAGGCAATGAATATTTTTAGAAGAGTAGGCAATGAATTTTGATGTGTCAACATTAGATATTGATAGCACGATGCTTTCTTCACATGTATGCCAATACAAAGACTCTATGAGCCCTAAAATTGTTTTCTTTTTATTAAATTTCATTCTTAATTTATAGTCAGCCCATTATTTTTACTACTGTTGAATGTTTAACATAAGTAAGCTTAAGTTAATGATAATGTTAATTGATATCGATGGAGTTGAGCTGAATACCATTACCTTGAGTTCTCTTCACTGCATTCCTCTGGTGTAAATAGTCCTGCTAGCTACAGTCCAAGCTCCATGAAGATAATAATTTTTAAGCCGAAAATAAGGAAATAGAGATTACCGGAAAACTAGTTCTCTCTGGTAGGTTGATTATTATTTTATAATAATAAATAAATTATTTTTTATTCATTATTTTACTATTTTTGTTGTCATATATTGCACTAATACACATAATAAATATTATAATACGTCAAAAAGATTCCAAGAAATTATGAAATAAAATATTGGCTATGAAGTTCATATAGCACAGAAAAATAAACGGCTTACAGCTTCTTCCGCATACCATCAAATTCTCAAAATGCAGACAGGCTCTTCCGTTCCATTTCCCACTCGTACACAATTTCAATGGAGTGTTATTAAAACTGTGGATCAATTTCCTTAGCGTATATCTCTTGTGAACCAACCAAATGGACTCCTGTTCGAATGCTTTACGATATATGTTATACCCCTTTTTACGGTTTTCTTTGTAGCTATTCAGCCAGTTAATCAGTCAAAACAAATAGTTGTTTATATATAGACATGCAACATCAATTTTATTATAATATATTATGACTTAGGAAAACTTAGAACAATTTAATTGTAATTCATTAAGTCTGAGAAATGTGAATATACTTATATATTCTCGATATAGATCACCAATGATTTGGTTAAAAGAACTCAATAAATATCTCTTTAAAACACTGGACACTTATTCAACCAGCCTTCATCGGGAATCGAGCCCGGTACCTCTTTATTCATTACTTATTTAATAGACATTTACCAACGGCTAAAATATTATGTCCTTAGCAGTGAAGACTTGGCAAGAATTAATCATATAAATATTTTCTTTGCAATTCATACGAAACATCTATTTTGATATATTAGACATTAATTATATTGTTGATATATTATTCCTGTAAATACTACCAATCCAATCGGCTTTCATATACTTAATTCTTGTTTTGACACATTTTAATCTTTATCTTAGAGTACGATACGGAAAAATGAAAAAAAAAATTCTTCGAAGCACTTTCCTAATGCAATTGCTTTCTTGTCTTTTCAGTTTTACAGAACAGAGATCTTGCGATGTCAAGAATATTGTATACAGCAATATCATTGAAAAAACCGCGAGTATTTTGAAAGGTATCCAACCATTCGCATCAATGAGATTTGACCTTATATCTTTTAAGTTAAATGGACATTTAACCCTTACATGTGTAATTAGACCAACAGTTTACAGTGCAAACTCACAATGGGCGGCAAAAAAAGTACATATAGAATTAATACATACAGACACGTAAGTATATAAATACGTATGCGTAATATATATATTATCGTAATGACATTCATTGACTGATTACTTATAACATTTATAAGATGTATAATATATGTGTATATGATGTATAATATATAAATATCTAGATATTCAAAACTGGTTAGTGTTTACAACTCACAATAAAAGTCTTTGTGAAGCTCGTTAAATTGTTAAGTCTGGCTTTTGCTCGTTTCTTTCCCAATCAATGCATACATTATGCCCGGAATATCTTTATCACAAACAAGAAATTTTAGATCTACTCAATATATATGTAAATATATATATATATATATATATATATATGTGTGTGTGTGTGTGTATACAGCTGTTTGGTATTTTTAAAAGAATTTATGCGTTCGTTTCAAGTTTTTGAAATGTTTAGTTTCCTTTATTTCGAGGTATGTTAGTATTATGACTTTTGGCTTTATTGTTGACTTGAGAACCATTAGAGTTATGCTTGTAATATTCTTATATGAACAAATTCCAAGTTGGTGTTATGTGATTTTTGTTTGTTTTCGTTTTACTTACATTTACTTACACAACAGTTGCTCTAACATTTAAGTTTACATCAATAACTTAAATATAGTTTACAAGGGAGAAAAAAATGGTGAAATATTGTGCATGGAACCAAAAGTATTTTGTTTCAATAAGAAAAAGTTAAAGTTAACGAAATACTATTTTAATATTAAATGATTAGTAGATTGCGTATTGATTGATCGTATTGCACTGACCCAGCTTAAACAACAATTTCGATGATTTCGGCATCGTCCTCGTCATCGGTTCCCCAACCGGCATGGGGATTGTCCTCATCGTGTCAGTGAACCAGCCTCTCCTGCTATAGCATCACCTGCTTGAGCGACGGCAGCTGTCGCTCTAGAATCTTTTGGGCTGCCTCCTGATCGAGTCCATCGATACTGCAAGCAACTAGCTCCCTCAGGGCATGCGCATCTCTAGCAATATAGTGAAAAGTTTGCAGCGTGAGCAACGAGCAGTTGCTTATATTGAGACTACGCAAACGCATCAATTTGGCCACGGCCACGCCCACCGCCTCATCATCGAGTAACGAGCAGCTCGCCAGCGAGAGCGTCTCCAAAGCCGGACAGTTGACGCTAAGCGCCGCAATGCCTTTGGTCTCCAAACGATTGCAATAGTCCAATGTGAGGTTCCGTAGCTCGGGCAAACGCAGCGCCTTCCTGAGCAGACGATCCGTAAGATTGTGACATCCCCGCACATTTAACTCGTGCAAGCCACGCAAGCGGCTGATAGGCGCGGGATGCTTGCCGAAGCCAATGAAACCATTGTCCGTTATTTTAATGCAGTAATCAATCCGGAGCATGCGCAGCAGCGGCTGGTGGCGGAAGATTGTGGAGAGGGTGCGATCGGTGGTCGCCTGGCGGCAGTTGTCCAGGCTGAGCTTGCGCAAGTTGGGCAGACGTTTAAGTAGTATGCACATGGACGGCTCATCGATGAAGCACACATCCTCCAAAAAGAGCTCCTGCAGCGTATAGTTGACCTGTGTAGTCAGGCCCTCGACAAGACCGCTTCCAGTCAACGAACGGCAATAGGCCATAGTCAGCGACTGCAGACAGCCGTTCATCTTGCGTAGTGCCTGGACGCAGCGCACGTCCAGCTGCACACAGAACATGAGATCGATAGAGCGGAGTGATTTATACCACTTGTCAGCCACGCGGATCAGCATTTCATTGGTCAGCGATAGCATGCCGGTAAGATCCAGCTGTTGCAGCCGGGCCGTTTGGGGAATTGATTTCAGAATATCGTCTAGCAGCACGAGATGGCAATTGCCGGAGAGCTTTAGGACGCGCATCCTCTTCATCCGCTCGAAGGCCACACGCCAGCCTGCCGTTTCGATGCCGGGCGAGCAGCTAAAGAAGATGTCGACATACTCAAGAGTGGGCCCATGATCGTAGAGCACCTGGAGCAGTGCCGTCTCATTGTTTCGCCGATACTCGAACTGCAGATGACGTAGTCGCACCTTGTTCTCGACGCGTCGCAG